GCCTCACTAAAGTCCAGGCAGACAATGTCCAAGTAGATCGTTTCTTCTGCTCTTTACAGCCTCTTCTAGGAATGTGCTGCTTGCTTTGTGACCCTGAAGTCCTGCAATACCATAAGTGTTCGTGATTATGCTTAGTATCTAGGTATTCATATTTCTAGTCTGGTGCCACACTGCATCCTTGATCTTCCTAGCCTTGTTGTATGTAAGTTGTTATTCCCCTCACTAAGATGTCCAGTCTTGCTGGAGGAGGGGCTGTGGCCCTCTTCTCACCACTGCAAAGTGATGATGCACCTCCTGTTCCCCGGGGAAGTGGCAGAATGGGAAGCAAAGCTGCTGTTTGCACAAGGTAAGGGAGGGCAGGTGGGAGAGATGCAAAGGGAATGCACAGGGGAGAGGTCCCACTGGCATGGGAGGGCTCCTGCAGAAGGAAACAGGAGAGGCGAGGGCTCCCGTGCTCCGCCTCCCCCAGACTCATGCCAGGGCTGGAGATGCCTTCGCTGAGATCTCAAGCACAGGAATGTTCTTCCCTGGGCATGGCCCCAGCGTTAACCATGTTGCTTTGTTTACTCCAGATACACTTTATACTGCTGTTCAGTCGGCAAGGGAAATTACGGCTTCAGAAGTGGTATATGACGCTACCTGATAAAGAGAAGAAAAGGATCATTCGAGAAATTGTTCAGATTATTTTGTCTCGCAATCAAAAAACAAGTAGTTTTCTTGACTGGAAAGACCTCAAGCTTGTTTACAAAAGGTGTGAGTAATTTTATGAGAACATGTAATTACTATTTATGTGAATAACGCATGCGAGAAGAGGAAAAATAAAGGCTCACTTTAAGAAAAACAGCGAAGAAACCCTAAGTGCTAGACTAAGCTGGCAGGAGCCTGCCATCAGCGATCTAACAGTATCTAACAGCACAGTGTCCCTGGCTAAATCATCAGGGTCAACTGTGGAGTGAGAAATACTTACACAGTCTGACAAATGAGAAAAATGGGAGTCAGCTAGTAAGTATTAACGGTTGAAATACTGTTAGAAGGCTTTAGGCTTCACTGCTCCTTCTAATTCCCCACGGTAGCCTGCTGAGATGTGTGCTGGGCTTTATCAGACTCTTCAGGAGGTTGCAGGAATTGTTCTGAGGCATTCTGAGCAATTTGTCAAATGTTGGCTTTGAAATATTTGTTGCTCTGGAAAGCATTAATTCCTGTTTACCTTTCCAAACAAATCAGTGGTCCTCAGTTACATGGTGCTTAGCGTTAACTGCCCGTTAATTCTTGTGAAGTTGTAGCAAACAAAAGTAGCCTTAAGGAGTAGCACACTGTACAAATTGAGCGACATCTCCCATTCAGCAAAACTGGAGTTCCTTGGTGTGAAGTGATGGATGTAAACTTCTGACTCTCCAGTCACAGCATCGGTCACTATAGCACCGGAGAGTTGAGGGAGATCGTTACTCCCATCTTGGGCTGATTTAAAGATGAAGTTTTGCTGCAAGTAATTTAATAAGATTGTTTGGTCTAAGCAGTTTCATACCTTCTGGTCCTGTGTAAAACGCTGCCAGTCATTTGATAGCCAGCAAGCTTGCTAAGATAGAACTTCTTGCACATTTATTTTTTAACATAAAGCAGTAACTCGTTCCAGAGTTTAATTAACCCCACTAACTGTAGTGCTATTGCAGTTGGTGTGGGAGACCTTTCAAGTTCTCTTGATTGCTTGCTCGTTTTATTAAGACGAATGTTGGAGGTGTCCCACTTTGCCAGGTGTTATTTGCAAAACTTCTGAGGGGTGAGCAGAGCACTAAGGACCCCGCTGTTCATTCTCACGTGTTTCTCCTTTTTCCCCCCCAGGTATGCTAGTCTGTATTTCTGCTGTGCAATAGAAGACCAGGATAACGAGCTCCTGACACTAGAGGTCGTTCATCGATACGTAGAGCTTCTGGACAGATACTTTGGGAACGTAGGTTTCGCTTTCTCCCCTGAACCGCATTCCTGGTTGTCTGATAAACGAACACTTATCTGTAGTTGTTTTGCTTCCTGCTTCCATCTGCACTGCTCGCCCCATAGCTTCTCTCAGTTCAGAGTGAAATTCCTTATTAGAATATTTTATAAAATAGTGCTGAAACTGTCATAAGGTTGTTTTTCCATCCTTTGTACCAAAACAGTATATATCTTGATGCTTTGTATGTCTCGCTCAAAATAGATTTTGAGGGAAAACTCAGGGAACTGCTGGAGAGAGTCCAGCGTAGGGCTACAAAGATGATGGAGGGAGTGGAGCATCTCCCTGATGTGGAAAGGCTGAGGGAGCTGGGGCTCTTTAGTTTGCAGAAGAGGAGACTGAGGGGAGACCTCATTCATATTTATAAATATTTAAAGGGTGAGTGTCACAAGGATGGAGCCAGGCTCTTCTCGGTGACAAACAATGATAGGACAAGGGGTAATGGGCACAAGCTGGAACACAGGAGGTTCCACTTCAATTGGAGAAGAAACTTCTTCTCAGTGAGGGTGACAGAGCACTGGCCCAGGCTGCCCAGAGAGGTTGTGGAGTCTCCTTCTCTGCAGACATTCAAAACCCGCCTGGACGCCTTCCTGTGTAACCTCATCTGGGTGTTCCTGCTCCGGCAGGGGGATTGGACTGGATGAGCTTTTGAGGTCCCTTCCAATCCCTAACGGTCTGGGATTCTGTGAAAAGTTTGAGGAAAATTACTTTTAAAAAGACTTGGGCGACAGTACTTTGTCTCTCTTGGCATCTTCAGATATGCTGGTTTTGTTTGTTTCATCATATAGTGTAAGAGTTAAGGACATAGAAAAAGGAAAACGATGAAGTGGTTTGGTTTTTTTTAAAGACAAGACCTGAAGAAGGTCCAAATAAGTCTTTCAGCAAGTCTTTAAATACTACAAGAGACCCATCTTTTCTATGAATATTTTTGAAATTGTTCCTGCTACCTTAACTCATCGCTTACTTAAATCACTGTGCAGTGACTCACGCTTGTACTGCCTCAAAACGAAAAAGCCGTTGGTGACTCTAAAGCCACTAGGACAGGAAACGTGTCTTGCTTTGTGAAACTGTGCACGAACGTATGTAACCCATATTACAAGAGCTATATAAGACCTGGTATAAGGTTAGTAGGCTAGGGAGTCAGTGTTGTTCTCCAAAAACCAGTACTGTATTCTATAAAATATAGTAAGTGGAATATCTTTGCCATTAAGTCGAGGCTAGATATCTGGAAAGAACATGTGCATAAGCTGCAGTTATGATATGCACTGTCTGTCTTCACCCTCCTACCTGCCACAGGAGTGCATACGTTGAATACGTTTGATCATGTTGACGTTTGGCCCATTAGTGGTTATAATGCGGTAAAAGTGACTTAAATGTGGCATGTCATTTTGTTCTGGCAGGTGTGTGAGCTGGATATTATCTTTAATTTTGAAAAAGCGTATTTTATTCTTGATGAGTTTATAATTGGTGGAGAAGTACAAGAAACTTCAAAGAGGTCTGCAGTGAAAGCCATAGAAGACTCTGACATGTTGCAGGAGGTAAGGCAGAGGAAGACAAAAGGCAAACACCTCATCTTCCTACATCTTCCATGTTTGACAGAAGCTTAAAATCCAGTTAAGCACTTCTGTACTTAATTATCCAAATGTGCCTTAAGATCAGTTTTGATAACTTAACAGAGCAGTTAAGGTAGCAGTTTCATAAACCTTCAACTCAGCCCTCTTGTAGAATCATCCGGAGGCTCTTTATATACTGCTACTGCTCTCTTGCAGTTTAACTGCTAGAGTTTCTTGGGTATTAAGACACAGTTTAAGACATATCTAAGGTATTTATATAATATAAGAACATAATCTATTTTATGTATACATTTGTGGATTTATAAATACAGAAAAAAATCTATTCTGTTTTGGAAACAGTTGCCTTAAAGCTAACATTTAAAACTGGAATCCAGAGTATGTGCTGGTAACCTCCACTTGGATCCATAAGCACCTCTGTAGTTTTTCTGCCAGGCACAGATGCATAGCCTTTATTCAGAACCCTGCAGGCATTCTCTTCTGTAACTTGTGCCATTGAGTCAGGAGTGGCAAAAGCAGTTGAGTGTGATGGCTTTACTTCATTTTTTCCTAGGTAGTGAAGGAAGCAGCAGGCTGGTAGAGCTGGCTGGGGGCACGCTGTGCCACTCGGACAGTTTTTCAGAGTGGTGTAGCGTTTGCACGTGAAACGAGACCAGCTACACAGAAAGTTCAGCTCGGCGCGAGAAGTTTAGCCACAACCGTGCTATGTCATGATTTGGAGATCAGATTTAAAAAGGCGGTTAAGAGTTTCTAAAGCAGAATTATTTCAGTATTTTAATTCATCTGACCTCATTCCATGCAAACTGTCTTCAAAGAGGACAAGAGGCTTTGAATATTACTGCACCGCTCTATAATGCGTCAATTGTTTCTCTCTTGTTTTTTTCTCCAGACAGTGGAGGAGTACATGAACAAGCCTGCGTTTTGATGTTAAAACTACCCGAAGAGGAGCTGCTGGATGCACCTATAAAATGCACTTCCTGAAATTGCTTCCCAATGTGCCAGATCCTCAGAGCAATACCAAAAACCAGTAACCAAAGGCTTTTGTTTGTATGATGGTGAAGATGAAGGTCAGCTAATGTAGCACAGGGTTTAACAATTCTGTTCTTGCATTACATTCATATGCATTTCTCAGAATTGTTACTACCCTTGATCTAGTTCCTCTTCTCCTTGCTGGAATAAACACTTGTTTTGTACCATGTCTTTTAGCTACAAGTTTTGTCATGATAAAATGTTTATCTGCCAGTACTTTGAAGATGTATTTTTACTAGTTCTGGTCCACTGCTGACCGTATGACTCTACTTTTGTACAAATGTCCATTAGTTTGAATGTAATGATTACTCTGCTCTGATAATAATAATAATAATTTTTTTCTAAAAGCCAAATTGTTGTGGGCCCTTATTTCACAAGCTTGTTCTGAAAAGACGAACCAATCTAGTACAGGAATAAATACGCTTCTCTTTGGAACTGCCCTTTTTCTTTCCCTGTCTTCCTTCTATTTTCTGCTCTAGTCTGCTAATAAGACTGCTCCAACTGCTACTGTAGGGCACTCCATACCTGCTTTTATTCTGGAAGACTTCTGACTCAAGGTAGGCTTCTCCCAGGTTTCATGACTCTTTTTTGCTGCTGCGGATGGCCTGTTTCTGTCTCTCTCATTGTTTTCCTGTCTCCTTCCTAGATCCCCTGGGCCTAGACAAAGGCTTGGAAGCGAACAACCTTTGGAATTGTGCAGCTTGACAGTTTCAGCGATATCCTGAAGATAAGAAACTAGCCTTTGGGATTTTAGGGTGAAGATCCTTTCGTATGTCTTTTGGCTCTGTCCACCAATAACCATCTGTCCCAGTAGAGTTTTCCAGTCCACAGTTCACACATCTGTTGGGATGATCAGCTTTCTAGTAGTTGAACATGGCCCATTTTTGCGAAGGTTGAACAATTTAATGAACTTTTTATAACTTTGCAAGCTGCACAAAGGGAAAAAGGGGAAAATAGTAGAGAGGAGAAGAATCAGCTGGGCTGTGCATCTTACTGCCTGTTATAGTGTTGTACCAGTGTGTGGGGAGCCAGGTCTGTTAACTTGCCTGTCTTTCTGTCAGTGCAGTTTGGACTCTGAACCGATTGAGCGGCTGCCTTAGACACATAATTTTCTCCTTTAACAGAATGCAAATCTCTGAGAAATTCTGTTTATCTTAGCCCATAACTCACAGCTAGATGCTTTGTCTCTGTCCAACGATGAAATTATCCTATACAGAAGTTAGGTAGGTGAGACAAATATGCCAGCATGACCCAGGCATTGATACATATCTCTCGTCAACATACGTTTCTTTAGATTTCTGGGGAGTGCAGTCACTATTTTCCTTCAGGGATTTTTCTAATCTTTAAATGTCCTGCGTTCTTATTCTATATTTTTCATTGCTCCTTCCTTCCCAGTCTGTTTGTCTCTTCCTGGGGAGGGACTTTGGGGTTTTTTTGAGGGTGGGGGCACTGTGACACAACATGACAACTTTACTAATTGTCAGCCCACTCTTCTGCCTGTGTTACCTAGTCTGTTAGTAAAACGGTGACAAGCTGGCTCATAGCGTCATGCTGCTTTTTTTGTAATGACTTTATCCATCTGTTTTCTCTCTATTGATGTCAAAGGCATACTTTCAGCATTGAAAAAATAGTGAAATTGCTGAAGGGCTTTTAATAGCTCTAAAGTAATTCAATTTAATAGTAAATTAATGAAACGGTTTGAGTTGTGTGGGGGTTTTTTTCATGGTTTGAGGTTTGAAATGAAGTTTTTTAAAGTAGAGTGTTTAATTGATTAAGAAGCCACTTCAGAACGTGCAAAGAGGCTCTTTCCGCTCTCTACTTTTATAAGTGACTTTAGTGAAATCATCAGTAGTTTCATTTGCTTTTACTCCTTTTGGAGCCATGCTGTGATTGTCTGACTCTTACAAGTGTCATGTTGCTTGAATAGTGGAATATATAAAAATAGGAGTTCCAAAAAGATTTCTTGATATAAATAAAGATATAGAATGGTTTGAGTTGGAAGGGACCTTAAAGCTCATCCAGGCCAACCCCTGCCATGTGCAGGGACACCTCCCACCAGACCAGGTTGCCCAAAGCCCCGTCCAACCTGGCCTTGAACCCCTCCAGAGAGGGGGCATCCACAGCTTCCCTGGGCAACCTGTGCCAGTGTCTGATCATCCTCGCAGTAAAGAATTTCTTCCTAGTATCTAATCTAAATCTCTCCTCTTCCAGTTTAAAACCATTACCCCTCATCCTATCATTACACTCCCCGATAGAGTTCCTCACCATCTTTTCTGTAGGTTAGACAGTGACAGTCGCAATACCAACCCCTGAGGAATGCCACATGTCATTGGTTTCCACTTGGACATTGGGCCACTGACTGCAACTCTTTGAGTGGGACCATCCAGTCAATTCCTTATCTACTGAGCGGCCCATCTGTCAAATCCACACTTCTTCAATTTAGAGACAAGGATGTCACACAGGACAGCGTCAAGTGCTTTGCACAAGTCCAGGAAAAAAAGAACATACTAGCTAGGGGTATTTATGCTAGCTGTATCAATACAGCATCTGAAATAAAGAGCATTGCCAAACTGAAGTATCCAACGTCAACCTGAGAAGTGTAAAGGAATTAGTTTGGTTTCCTTGCCCTAGTGCAAAAGGCTATTGGAGTATGGTGTGCCTGTTTTGCACACTGCTGCTATGCTACAAATTTGGGTCAAAAGTATGTGTTATGCACTCTAAAGAATTGCTAAATTATACTGGTGGTCTAAGAGACATCTACAGATTCCTGTTGCTTTTACCTATAGATGGGCTCAGCCCAGGATGTGGTTGGCCTCTGAGCTGCAAGCGCACATTGCCGGCTCATATCATAAGCCTGTCTTTTCAGTCATTTTGGGAAGAGCTATAGGACTTATTTCTGTCTCATTTTCCTTATGGAAAAAAGAACATACTAGCTAGGGGTACTTATGCTAGCTGTATCAATACAGCATCTGAAATAAAGAGCATTGCCAAACTGAAGTATCCAACGTCAACCTGAGAAGTGTAAAGGAATTAGTTTGGTTTCCTTGCCCTAGTGCAAAAGGCTATTGGAGTATGGTGTGCCTGTTTTGCACACTGCTGCTATGCTACAAATTTGGGTCAAAAGTATGTGTTATGCACTCTAAAGAATTGCTAAATTATACTGGTGGTCTAAGAGACATCTACAGATTCCTGTTGCTTTTACCTATAGATGGGCTGCACAAAGTAGGCAGGTGAGCATGACTTTTGCAAGTGTCAGTCTGTGTGTATAGCAAACTTTAGAACTGGTTGCCCTGAAGTGTAAAACTTGTATTTATCCTTTTTGCCGCCTTCAGGGAGAAAGGGGTCACTCACCTAAGTGGTGGTGTAGTGGCATTCAGCACAACCCAGCTCTTTCGCCGAAGGGAGAACGCCCAGACAAAAGCCGGTTGTTGTCAGATTGCCTTTAGCTCACGGTGTCAAAATGCTTGTGCAAACGGAGCTCTGGAACTGCATTGCCACCAACAGGACCTTACACAGGTTCATGCACTGGTGAGTAGAGCTCATCAGGAGATATACGGCTCTCTTGAGGTCTTAATTCTTTCATTTTTCTTAAAGCAAGAGATGCACATATCTTTGTGTTCACTAATCCTTATGAAGCATTGCCCATCTCATTTGTGTTTGCTGTTGGTGTTTCTCTTTCCAGCCTGCCTGACAATTCTAGGAAATGCTCAATGTAAACTCTTCTGAGATTACTTTATTAAATTACTATCAAAAAAGTATTAGAAAGTAGGTTCCAAATCTCACTAACATCTTTTGCAGTGATCTAAACTCTCACCTTACTGTCCCAGTTTGCAAAATTACATTTACTAAAATAACCATTAATCATGGTCATGTTTCTAGCCTAGATTCCCTTCCTTGCTTTCACCAGCTGCATCTAACAAAAAACTTCTTGGTTTTCTTATTACCTTCTCTGCCTGGGGGATACTTCCTGTGATCTTCTTGCTTACCAGTTGTGACAGGGCTGGTTCTCTGTCATGCAGCTGTTTGCAACTCATGAGTTGTGACATCTTTGAACGTGTCACGGCAATTAAAAAGAGACAGACATTAGACTGGGATAAAAATAAGTGTAATAATTCAAAAGGAGTATTAAAAGTATGACAAATCATCATGAGTGAGAGGCAAGAGTGGCGGGATCTCACAGGATTCATGGATTCTTACAGTTTCTTTTACCATTATGCATTTCTGAGTGTTGTGGCTCATTAAAGTGTTTAAACTTTTACAAGTAACTGTAGGAAAATTGGCACTTAGCTTACCTCTTATCAGCCTTTGTTTACCAAAAAGCCACTGAAAGTGAATCTTCAACACTTCCCATAGCTGCTTCTACAAAAAAACCCCCCTGTACTTTCAGAAATGCAGTTGGGAAACTTACTGTAAAATTTAGGTATGAAGTTATGTTGAACAGCGTAATGCTGTATTTATGGAAGGATTAATTACTAGTTTTTAATTTATTTTTACAGTCCTTCCAATAGATAACACGTGGTTTTTTATCCTCTGCTTATCACTGTTGCATGGGAGTAACACAGCCTTCAGCAAGGGACTGGTTTCTGGGGAAAGATTAGAAGGGTTTAACAGTGTGAGTGAGGCTCTCGAAGGCACCCAGAGACCTTTAGTCAACACTCCCCTTGAAATAGCAAGGCTCAGCACAGGCCATCAGAGGGAAAACTCCTATCCATGTCTGTTCCTGGCGTTCTACACCACTGAAAATGCATTAGAAAATACTTGTGTTAGCACAGCTCCGGTGTGAGGGGGGCGTTGCTCTCACCCTGCATACAGCGACTAAACCCAAGGGTCTCAGTTCTGCAGTTAATCCCCATGGTGGGGTTTTCATTAACTTTACCTGACGCTGTTAGGAGCATAGAGTCTGCATCATCACTTACATCACTGTATTTTTGGTTTAGACAGCTGCCAAGAACTTGTGAGCTCAGACCCGGTTAAAGCATCCTTCTGGGGAGCTTGACGCCATCCTTGCTGAATTCAGTAGCGTGCGTATTCCTCGGCAAGATCATAGTACAAATGCCATATAGCTGTTGATGTAAATGTCTGTTGGGATTTTTCAGGGATTTTTTCTCATGGAGATAGCAGGTCTAGGTTGAAGCACAGTAGTGAAAGCTTAGGGCTTACAGCAGAAATAACGGGCTGTGCTGCAAGAGACTTAACGTTTGCTGTCATGGAAACCTGTTGCCTTGGAACATGACTAATGAGACCCAGGCTAAGGGAAAGGAAGAAGCTGTTCCTGAAATAACTGTTCGGAGAACCCTAAGGAAGACCAGCAGTATACGTTGTCATAAATTATAGTTATTTCAAGTT